GCATGGTTTATGTTCCAGCAGTGTCTTCTAAGTTGACTGAGGACATTACCCACAATGGAATTTGTTATTCCCCTGGAAGTGTGGATTTCCTCAGTCAACCCATTATATTTTTGAAGATGAATTAGCTTCTGGTTAAGGGATATTAGAGTGCATGCCAGCCTTTCTCAACCTTTTAACCCCAGAGGAACCATTGAAAGAATTTCAGGTCTTGAAATAATACCGTTTCAATGGGGGTCATCGAGTAAAATGACCCTTCATTTGAGGCCAGTAGAAAGCACACCTCCCCACCCCCTTGCAGAAGTGGTCAAAATGTACCCCTTTCAGATATCTAAACAGTTCACTGGTGTCATGCCCTGACTCTGCCAAGTTTCACAGTCCCTGGAAATAAGTAGGCATGTTCAAATGGGAGATCAATCAGAATCCACATATCAAAAAACACTAGCAACTACTGGAGGAACCTAGGTTGGAATTGCTGTTGTGAGCTCCTCTGGGGCAGGGGTCAATGTGAATGTTCCAGTATGGGTGGTGGAACTCGCCTCTCCAATAAAAACACAAGAAATAAACCCTTCTGGGGCCTTAAGATTTTTCAGTGACATATGGACTCATGCCAGCTATTGCAGAACTACAAATCCCAGGGTTCCATATTGGCTCTGCTTTGTGGGACCTGCACTTTAACAGCTGGCGTGTCATAAGTAACCTTATACCAGTAGATTGATTTCAAAATCGAATTACCAGTAACTTACCCTCTGAGCCTGAGTGATCATCTTCCTGACCACCTCCTTAATGTGAGGCTGTCCATCAATTGGAGGCTGCATGTACACAGTGGCCCGGGTTACCCCTCTGTAGGCCACGGTATCCGGCCATCCCAAGTCCAGCTCTGGGATGGAGCAGTCCGACTTATCCGGCCAGTATTCCAACGAGTGTTCTGCATCGTCTTGTTGGGGCTCCCCTTCTACCTCTGGTTCAGGTTTGTCTCCATTCTTCTTTGGATGGCTTGAGTCAGGGTCAAATGCCTCTACTTTGCTGGCAAGCTTAGCCAGTTCCAACTCAGACAGGAAATCCCTGATGTTCTCCTTTTTTACTACTTCATGATAAGTTTCCTCTCCGGAGGACATCAGAGCCTCCAGGGCTAGCCGCTGCTCCTCGCTGTAGAAGAACTCTGGTTTGGTTTCACTGGACCTCCAGTTGACATGGTTGTTGTCCAAACACTGGAGCTGGGAGAGAGCCATGGCTAGAGAATGTCACTGCTCTAGAGAATCCTCTGAGTCTCTGAGCACCTTGAGAATATGACTTATTGTAGTGGACCTTACTAGATGAGAACCTGGTCCTACTGGAACAGATCCAGAAGTGAACCTGATAGAGGAGTCTTCTACTTAAGTTTCTCGTTGAACTGACAAGAAGTGGACTTGATGGATTCTACAACAGACCAGAAGTGGACCTGATAGTCTTCTACTTAGGTTCCAGGAGAACAGATCCAGAAATGGACTGAATAGAGTCTTCTACTTGAGTTCCTGGTAGAACTGACCAGAAGTGGACCTGATAAAACCCACTACTTAGGTTTCTGGTAGATCAAACCAGAAGTGGTCCTGATAAAGTCTACAAAAGACCAAAAATGGACTCAATAGCGTCTTCTACTTAGGTTCCAGGTAGAACTCACCAGAAGTGGACCTGATAGAACCCACTGCTTTGGTTCCTGGCAGATCGAACCAGAAATGGACCTGAAAAAGTCTACAACAAACCAGAAGTGGACCCGATAGTCTTCTACTTAGGTTCCAGGAAAACAGATCCAAAAGTGGACCTGATACAGGCCACTACTTAGGTTCCTGGTACACGATCCTCCTTCCAAGGTTCCTGATCCCTACATCAGTGGATCCTGCTGAGTTAGATCCAGAATTACGTCTATACAAGGTACTCCTGCTTAAGTGGATCTTTCAGTAGGTATTAGTTAGGCTCACCCTGTTACCGAAGTGGCAGTTGATCTGGTTGCAGTGGATCCTGGTATGAGCTTATTCCTTGGTGGATCAGTTTCCTGAGTGGATCCTATAGTGGATCCTGGGGGGGGGGGGGCAATCAGATTCCTGAGTGGATCCTGGGGGGGTGTTCAGATCCTATAATGGATCCTGTGGGGGGGGGGGGGAATCAGATTCCCGAGTGGATCCTGGTGAGCAGAGCCAGTGATCTGATCCTGTTGTGGATCCCCAGGGATCAGATCCAGCTGGTAGAAAGTCCTGAGATGAGATCTTCCCGAAGTGAACTTTTGTTAGCCGTGTGTCATTGCTCAGCACTCCAGTCCCGGGGCACACAATGGTCCATAGTGCACGGAGTGGCCCCCCTGATGAATGGCAGCAGGTTCCAGTCCCGGGGCCCCCCCTGCTGTCCCGCAGCCGGTCTCAGTCCCGGATTCTCCCTGCTGCTCGATCGCGGCTCCCGAACTGATCTGCCCCCTTCGGCTCTCGCAGGTAGCCGCAGCAGCAGGCGAGGTCACGTGAGCCGGTTCCCGGCCACGCCCTCCCCCGTTCGCTCATTCAAGGCTTCGCACACCCTGATTCACGTGACGCCGAGTCTTCCCAAAACTCCGCCGGATCCCTCCGGGTCCAAACACAGGCGGAGCCTCGGATCTGAAGTACCCGGATGGATCCTGGGCTGCAAAACATTTGGGGTCTTTGTTTTGTTTTCTGGGAGAAATTGTCCCTAAAACGTGAGAACTCCGTCTAAAAGTGGAATTGCTTTGCCTGGAACTTTTATTTCCAGTTTCATCCAAAGATCCTTTGCTTTTTTTTGCTTTTTAAATGTATTAATCTTTTAGGGGAAATCAGACACAGAAAATAAAACATGGGGGGGTGGGGGGTTAACAGTGGCCCGTCGGTGGAGCGCATTTTTAAAAGTGAGCCGGGCATGCAAGGGTTTGACTATAGATTGACGCAGACTCTGAGCGCGGATACAGAAAAAAACGCAGCGATGCACTGAGATGTGCGGCGTAAAACGCAGCATGTCTGAATTTCTGTTGTTAGCGGCGTCTGGCCTTTTTTCATTATCAGCAAACACAAATGCTCCTGCGCTTGGGGATGCACTCAATGTAGGCTAGAACCAGGGGCGGACTGACAACTCATGGGGCCCCCAGGCAATAGGGGATCATGGGGCCCCTGTGTCCTTGCCCAAACTCAAAAAAGCCTATGAAAAGGTACCAGGGGCATCTCATGGGGCTCCCTACTGACCCCGGGCCCTCGGGCAGTGCCCGAGTTTCCAAATGGTCAGTCCGCCCCTGGCTAGAACCACATCATGAATGTCCTGGAATATGCACACCTTGCTGCCCTCAAAAGACCGGGGAAATCCAAATATACTGAATAGAAAAATAACAGAGAGCACATCATAAAAGAACAGCAGACATACTGCATTTTATTGCAGCGCACCGTCTCGAATCGCACCGCAATGTCAGGCAGTGCAGCACAGTATAACTCACGACATCGCAGTAATGAAGTGTACGTTTTGTACAAAAAAGTTCTTACAAAACAAAAAAAAGAAGGGATGTTGCGGTACTCTGAATGACGCATCACACTGACCCCTAGCACAGTCGGCAACGATGAGCTGTCACAGCGGTTTAAAGCGCCGCGGGAGTTCTCCATATAATGTGAACCCTACTACTGGAGGTGTGTTACTGGCCAGATCACCTGGTGAAACTATAGGGAAAAAAAACTAATGCAGCCACCACATCTACTGACTGGGAAGATACAATATATGACATTATTGGTTTTGGGTTTATTACCACATTAACATTCCAACCAATAGAATGAGGTAGTGCTCATACACTTATAAATACACAAGATTAGAGGCATTTTTCTGCCAACTTCCAGCCTTCTGGCAGCATATTTGGAGCATACATTTATATGCCCATGTGCACAAGGCCTTTGGCCCCATTCACACCTGAGCGTAGTGAGAACACATGTTCCCACTTCCGTTTTTTTGCATGTCATTAACGCACGCTGCGCCTAGGGCATCCCATTCACTTGAATGGACTGCCCTACACATGACAAGCGCCCCAAAGTACTGTAGCTCCAGAACTTTTTTAGTCGTGGAACATCAGGCGTTTTTTTCAGTGCGTATTGTGTCAAGCAACAATCATGCAGCAAAATAAGTGTCTGCTACCCGCGCTTGGGGTGCCATTATCAATTAAGTGCACTGCAAGCGCGACCCGCGATTGCAGCATGTTTGCAGCGTTTTTCTGAGACGCATGGCAAAACCCACAATTTTATTTAGGAGACGTGCCAGTGTGAATGCAGCCTTGTTTACAAGGGGGGAGCATACAAATAGGCAGATGAGCCACAATTTTACACCCCCACCCAACTGCCCAGCTGATGTACATTAGCAGGCTACAAGAATAAATTAGGGCTTATTCACACCTTTCCAGTGCAAGGAGGCATATCAGAACACATGGTTGTGATTGCACTGATAATTATACAACTTGCTGTATTCGGGAGGTGATACCACCACGAAGCGTGACCCTGGGACCACTACACAGCCACATGTAATTCAGGTGGTTGCAGTGCTGTGCACCAGGTTTTTTAAGTGTTACTAAACCCACAACAGTACAATTAGTCTGTATATGCAGTAAAGCATGCTTGTGATACTGACTGTGGAACCTAAGGGGTTAATCCCCTGCATTGTGTAAAAATGCTGTTTGATCCTGTCTTCTCTGATTCTCCCCTTCTTCCAGTGTCCCCCTCTTGTCTCCTGATAGGACATATTGTGTGGAGATACTGTACGTGCTCAATTTGGTGTATATTGCTAGAGAGGTTTTTTTTTTTCCCTGGGAGAGTGCATGTGATCAGCACAGGGCCAATCAGCACTCTCCAGACAGTGGTCAGGGGTTCTGCATCCTCCTAGAGAAAACTCCTCCTACAAGCTTTAACCAGTGCTTTGCTGGACACTGATTGAAGTCACTAGACTGCTATATATGATGAGAAAAGGTATTTAGCAGTTTATATTTACTAAAATAATTGCATTTTCATGTTGTGTGTACTGTGGGAGACCAGATATAGTGAATGCAGGGTCCTGGGAGAGCAGATATAGTGAATGCAGGGTCCTGGGAGACTAGATATAGTGAATGCAGGGTCCTGGGGAGACCAGATATAGTGAATGCAGGGTCTGGGGAGACCAGATATAGTGAATGCAGGGTCCAGAGAGATCAGATATAGTGAATGCAGGGTCTGGGGAGACCAGATATAGTGAATGCAGGGTCGGGGAGACCAGTATAGTGAATGCAGGGTCCGGGGAGACCAGATATAGCGAATGCAGGGCCTGGGGAGACCAGATATAGTGAATCCAGGGTCTGGGGAGACCAGATATAGTGAATGCAGGGTCCTGGGAAAACAGATATAGTGAATGCAGGGTCCGAGGAGACCAGATATAGCGAATGCAGGGCCTGGGGAGACCAGATATAGTGAATCCAGGGTCTGGGGAGACCAGATATAGTGAATGCAGGGTCCGGGGAGAGCGGATATAGTGAATGCAGGGTCTGGGGAGAGCGGATATAGTGAATGCAGGGTCCGGGGAGACCAGATATAGTGAATGCAGGGTCCGGGGAGACCAGATATAGCGAATGCAGGGCCTGGGGAGACCAGATATAGTGAATCCAAGGTCTGGGGAGACCAGATATAGTGAATGCAGGGTCCGGGGAGACCAGATATAGTGAATACAGGGTCCGGGGAGACCAGATATAGTGAATGCAGGGTCCGGGGAGACCAGATATAGTGAATGCAGGGTCCAGGAGAGATCAGATATAGTGAATGCAGGGTCCAGAGAGATCAGATATAGTGAATGCAGGGTCTGGGGAGACCAGATATAGTGAATGCAGGGTCCGGGGAGACCAGGATATAGTGAATGCAGGGTCCGGGGAGACCAGATATAGCGAATGCAGGGCCTGGGGAGACCAGATATAGTGAATCCAGGGTCTGGGGAGACCAGATATAGTGAATGCAGGGCCTGGGGAGACCAGATATAGTGAATGCAGGGTCCAGGGGAGAGCAGATATAGTGAATGCAGGGTCTGGGGAGAGCGGATATAGTGAATGCAGGGTCCGGGGAGACCAGATATAGCGAATGCAGGCCTGGGGAGACCAGATATAGTGAATCCAGGGTCTGGGGAGACCAGATATAGTGAATGCAGGGTCCGGGGAGACCAGATATAGTGAATGCAGGGTCCAGGAAGACCAGATATAGTGAATCCAGGGTCTGGGGAGACCAGATATAGCGAATGCAGGGTCCGGGGAGAGTGGATATAGTGAATGCAGGGTCCGGGGAGACCAGATATAGCGAATGCAGGGCCTGGGGAGACCAGGATATAGTGAATCCAGGGTCTGGGGAGACCAGATATAGTGAATGCAGGGTCCGGGGAGACCAGATATAGTGAATGCAGGGTCCAGGAAGACCAGATATAGTGAATCCAGGGTCTGGGGAGACCAGATATAGTGAATGCAGGGTCCGGGGAGAGTGGATATAGTGAATGCAGGGTCCGGGGAGACCAGATATAGCGAATGCAGGGCCTGGGGAGACCAGGTATAGTGAATGCAGGGTCCTAGGTTTAGTAACACTTTAAGGGCTCCTTTAGATTTGTGGTTGGGGGGGGGGCTAAAAACACTCCACGTTTTTTCCCCCTCAAAGAGGAGCTCTGGTGAAAAAAATTTAAAATCAGCAGCTGCAAATACTGTAACTGGTGACTTTTAATTTATAGACACTTAAAAGTAGAGGGTTCCAGCGCAGTCATCACCGACCTGGTTCTTCGCCAGTCTTTAGGTCCTTGGCGCCGCCATCTTGCTTATAGGAAGCTGACTGTCACTTCCTGGTGTTTCAAAGCTGGATTCCCATGGCACATGTGCAAGATGCACTGCACTGTCTGAATGGTCCTGCGGTATCATGTGACGTGTCCCAGGCAATACCAGCAAGGGGTGGGGGTGGGAGTGGGTAACTGTCAGAAATTAGTACCTGCTCCCAGAAAAAAAGAAAAAACTTCCAGTACAGAAAGAGGGGGAAAGAGGATCAGCTGTACTTCTCTTTTCAGGTGAAGTTCCCCTTTAAGCTGCAAAGGCAGAGGACAGGGGTGTTAGCATGCCACACATTGCTCAGATATGGTCATCAGGAAGCGGTGCCAAATACTAATGTGCCGCTGACCCTGGAGCAAGTGCATGTAGTCCAGAAGTGGTTGAAAGAGGCTGCAGGAGATCAGCAGCACTAAGATGCAAAAGTGATTAAAAAAAGGGGGACAGCAGTGCTTAATGATTAAAACACGCCATGACATTTTTTTATGACACTCAGTGCCTTAGCAAATGAAATGTCAGAATTTAGAGCTCCTTTTGCGGTACGTGCAGAAAAAAAAAAAAACAGTGACGTTTGGTGCTGAGCCATTGTTACAGCAAGGGGGATAATAAAAACATAATAATTGGCTGCCTTTGCCCTGCTTTGCTCTGTCACAACAAAAGATTTCTTCTGAATTGCATGGATGCCCCGTGGATGAGAGAAGTCACTGATTTCACACTGAGCCAGCAGATGGGACACTGACTGATGGATGTGTCAGTGGGGAAGTATTTTTGCGGCGAGACACCCTTCATGTCTGGGCTAGTGCAGTACAAGCCGCTTACGCTGCACATTAGCAGACTGCGAGAATAAAGGAGGGCTTATTCACACCTTTCCAGTGCAAAAACGCACGTTAGGGCAACGCATCTCCAGACCATATGCATTGCAGTGCACCAGATCACAAGGTAGTGCACTACTGCATTGCGTTGCCAAAAATGGTGCATATCTGTGTTTTTGGATATTTTGGTACGTTGACAGTCTATTCATTTGAATGGGCTGCCGCAAAAGCAATGCACCTCAGAGCTGCTTCACACCACATGTAGTGGGACTGCGTTGGATGGCTATTCCATCACAGTCCCACCACATGGACAATGCAAAATGACTCTCCTGTGTGCCGGATCACACCACTGCACTGCTGTAGTGTTCAGAAAAAAAGTACTGTATGCATTACTTTTTATCAGCATAGCGCAGTGCGACACAACCCACTGCCCCAAACTGTGCGGCCAATCAGCTTCTAACCTCAGCTTGTTCAGTTAAACTTTGACAATAAAACCTGGAAGCAGGGGCGGACTCACCATTTGGAAACCTGAGGGCCCGGGGTCGGTAGGGGGCCTCATGAGATGCCCCCGGTACCTTTTTCATAGGCTTTTTTGAGTTTGGGCAAGGACACAGGGGCCCCATGATCCCCTATTGCCCAGGGGCCCCGTGAGTTGTCAGTCTGCCCCTGCCTGGAAGCTGATTGGTTTCTATGTAGAGCTGCATCAGATTTTGTACCATGCAGTATAAGTAAATAAACTCCATATCTCAAGGTAGGGGGCACCTTTCTTTCATGTTGAAGAAAAATTAAACAAAAAAACTTTTTGGGACTTTTCAGGTGCTACTGAAAACCTTGTATAGGTTTCACTTGTTGATCCTGACAGTTATTTCCAATACATGTGGTTTCCTGCAGAAGGCTGACGACGCTGTAAGACCGCTGTTAACAGCGTTGTCAGCCCTCCCTACTGCATCTGTTCAAGATGACATGGCCATGTGGAAATGCAGTCCTACATGGAAGGAAATAACAATTATTCAAGGCAGCTTTCATAAGTATATGCAGCACATCCCTGGAGACTAGCAGATGAATAAATGAAACTAGAAAACATTTTGGGACTTTTCAGGTGCTACTTAACCACTTCAAGTCCGGACACTTTAACCCCCTTCCTGTCCAGGCCAATTTTCAGCTTTCAGCGCTATCACACTTTGAATGACAATTGCGCGGTCATGCAACACTGTACTCATATGAATTTTTTTTAGCATTTTTTGAGACAGATAAAACTTTATTTTGGCGGTATTTATTCACCACTGTGATTTTTTTTTTTTTTTTTTTGCTATATAAATGAAAAAGTCCAAAAATTTGGGGGAGAAAAGTGTTTTTCTTATAAAATTTCGCAAATAATTAATCTTTCTTCATAAATCTTGGCCAATATTTATCCAGTTATCTTTTTAGTAAAAAAACAAAAACGCAAATTAGTTTATAACCAAAAATTATAATTTTAAAAAAAGTTTTTTACATTTTTATTTTATTTTTTTTTTACATTATTTATGTTTTTTTTTAACATACTGTCACCCTAGCAGTACAGTGTCACCATAGTGACACTGTACTACTTGTGGGGGGTGATGAAGATTTTTTTTTTTATACACTGATTGCTTTTACACCCATAAAGGCTGTAAAAGCAATCATTTTTCCTTCTCTCTGGCTGCATTCTTGCAGCCATTGAGAAATACTGTGAGATGTGATTGGTCACATGGTGCAAGGCTGTTGTGAATAGCCTTGTACCATGTGATCTCTGTGATCATTCACAGATTTCACACATAGTAAGCAATGATGTCAGAAGTGACATCGTGCTTACTACTATTCATGTGATCACTGATTGGCCAATCAGTGATCACATGATTGGGACCTCACACAGAGGTCCCGACAGCAGGCACCGGGTCACACAGAGGTCCCAGGGAGCGCGCACCAGCAGGGAAGCGGGGGAGGACATTTTTAAACGGCCACCCGCCCATGCACTGCTCCCGTCCGGCTGTTTATATACATGGGCCACACGGGAAGTGGTTAAAATAAGAGGAGATTATATATAGGAGACATTCCTATCACTTATTGTTAAAAAAAAAACATAAAACATTTCAACATAAGTCACATGTGGAGTGCTGATGAAGTGTGTTCAATGGATTCCAGCCAACAGTCAGTATACCTCAACAGGAGCGGACTGACAACTCATGGGGCCCCCGGGCAATAGGAGATCATGGGGCCCCTGTGTCCTTGCCCAAACTCAAAAAGCCTATGAAAAAGGTACCAGGGGCATCTCATGGGGCCCCCTACTGACCTCGGGCAGTGCCCAAGTTTCCAAATGGTCAGTCCGCCCCTGTACCTCAACTATATACATAGAACATATATGATATGACATAGTTAAAATACTAACAAACTTACTATTCATGTACTGTATATTCTATGGTCCTTATTAAAGTGGTGAGCACACTTATTCTTCGACGCGTTTCACTGGCATATTAACTAGCTTCATCAGGAAGAAGGCAGAATAAATTATATGAATATCTACTATACAATATATATAATATGAATGATATGAATATATCCTATATACAATTTATAATCTGATATTTTAAAGTGGTGGTAAACCCTTCCATATACCCAGTGAAGTGACTGGCCTCAGGTGATACACGGAGATTAAACAAATCTTCCTACATAAGTTGTGCCTGTTTATCTGCAGTTTTGTCTTCTCCACATCCATTCAAAGTCCAGAATTTATACAGCTTGTCTGAGCATTCAGAAAGCAGGGGGTGGGGTGCTGACGTTACGCTCTGCAGAGTTCAGTGAGAGCTGATTGGAGGGAAGGGACACACAACCTTCACAAAGCACACAGGGACAGAGGTGAGGCTGTTAATCAGAAGCTGTGTCCTGTTGATCTTTCCCCTGTCACCTTTTTTCTCTTGGTGTCAGGAAAACATGTCAGAAGTGACTCATGATGATAGAGGAGGAAGCAGACAGAAATGACACTAAGGGGTTTATTTACTAAAGCTGGAGAGTGCAAAATCAGACTCACTTTTGCATAGGAACCAATCAGCTTCCAGGTTTCATTGCCAAAGCTTCATTGAACAAGCTGAGGTTAGAAGCTGATTGGTTTCTATGCAGAAGGGAGTCTGATTTTGGACTCTCCAGCTTTAGTAAATAAACCCCTAAGTGTTCTGGATTGAGACAAGTACACACTATAGAGGGATATGCTTTGTTCATATTTCTTCTCTGAGGTTTACAACCACATTATGTAGCACATGAAAAGTCCCAAAAAGTTTTCTTGTGTCATTTATTCATTAACTACTCTTCAGAGATGCGGTGCTCATATTTATAAAAGCCACTGTTGAATAATTACTGATTCTTTCTGTGCTGGACTACATTTCTACATGGCCACGTCATCTTGGAGAGGTGCAGTGGCGAGGACTGACAACGCTGTTCTAATTTAGAAGTGGTCTTAGAGTGTTGTCTGCCCTCTGCAGGAAATCACACGTAATGGAAAAAACTGGCAGAATCAGCTGGTGAACCCTAGAAGAGATAAGAGGAGAAGATCAATGAGCATTTCATGAATGTACACACAAAGCAATATCCGATCTTTACGCCACACTTGACATTTATCTAGATATGCACTTTAAAGTAGCAGATGAATATCTCTTCTCTGCCTTTTGGCTAAGATCAGGTGTAGTGAAGCAGCAGATCCATTAAAACATTGGATGAGTGATTAGTGCATTTGTATATAGAGCTCTATACATCAGACTATTGTGGAACATATAAGAAGAAATTAGAACAGTTGTGAGCAATAGACTGAAAAGTTTGTTTTTTTTTCTGAACATCCCTCTGGCTTCCCTTCGGCTGAATTTCAATTATTCTCTTGTTATGGAGTCCATGGCCTTGAGATTATAACCTGGTTCTAACCAGTCCACCCAGACACAGGTCATTTTCTGCTCCAGGATGAAGTCATATTTCTTGTCAGTCTAATCAGATAAGCCGTCAATCCCTGCAGCACTTACAATCGTAGTTCAAAGTCATTTTCAATGAATGTTAAAGACGGTGAATGCTAAAGACGCAGAAAAATGTTAGGCCACGTGTTCTCCATTCTTACCTTTGCGGTGGTTAGGGCCTTTGATTGCAGGGTACTGGGTCAACATGCTGCTGCAGCAGTGGGAAGACTGGTGCTATTTAGCGATTTATAGGGCAGCTCTGATTTTCTATCCAGGACTTTGAACATGGAGGTCGGAGCCAAAGTCCCTGGATGTTCTTCTGGTGGATCAATGTCTACTGAATGGCCAGTTCAAACTTCGGCCAATCATACCTCTGCACAAGCTGCAGTGAGTAGCTGGGCATAGTTGAACAGCTTGGAGAAATACATCCAAAAGAACAAAACGAAACCAGCGCTCAAATCTTCATGCAGACTAAAGAAGATTCTGAATGCCAAACGTTGAGGTGCAGCCCTTCAGAGATCGGGAAATCTAGGTGATGGTGAACAAAAACAAACAAGGGCGCACTCCCCTCGTGCATTAACGTGGTACACCACATATTTATTGAAAAATTATAGATACATACTCACAAACCAAAAGGGATAAAAACAGAACAGGTGATCCGTAAGGACAGTCCAATGGATTCAAACACCTTATAAGGGATAGGCTAACGCGTTTCGGGAGATGAACCCCCTACCTCAGAGCTAAAATGTAGACCTGCTAGTCCAACTTAAGTAGGCCAATAAATGGTGTAAAGAAATAGACACACCTCCCTTCCCACACTTTCTAGCATGGAGAAATAGTGAAGGGACAGTCTAGAGCAGTGGCCTCCAAACTGTGGCTCAGGGGCCTGATGGAGCCATTTGCTTGTCTTTATCTGGCCCTTGGAACACTTTTCTTTCCACTGACACAACAATGAGTTGTTATTCCTCCCACTGACACCAATAATGAGGCATTATTTTTTACATTGACACCAATGATGGGGCACTATTCCTTCCACTGTCATCAACGATGGGGCACTATTCCTCCTAGTGACACCAATGATGGGGCACTATTCCTTCAACTGACACCAATGATAGAGCACCATTCCTTCCACTGACACCAATGGAGCACAATTCCTCCCAGTAATACCAATGATGTGGCGTTGTTCCTTCCACTGATACCAATGACGGGGCACTATCCATCCCACTGACACCAACGATGCGGCACTATTTCTCTCACTAAAACCTCCCCTAATGCCAAAGATGCACTGCCAGATGCAATTGCCAGGGCAATTTCTACTTCCAATGGCCACAGTCTGGCAATCCTAAAGTCTGAAGGACAGTAAACTGTCCCTTTCTTTAGAAGGTTTAGAGGCCCCTGGTCTAATAGTGATGGGACTGGGAGTCTGGGAGAATTGTGATCAGGCAGTACAGGGAAATAATGATCAGACAGTATAGAGGAATAGTGATCAGACAATCTGGGGGAATAATGATCAGACAGTCTTGGGGAATAGTGATTAGACAGTCTGGGAGAATAATGATCGGACAGTCTGGGGGAATAATGATCGGACAGTCTGGGGGAACAATGATCAGACAGTCTGGGGGAACAGTGATCAGACAGTCTGGGGGAACAGTGATCGGACAGTCTGGGGGAACAGTGATCGGACAGTCTGGGGGAACAGTGATCGGACAGTCTGGGGGAACAGTGATCGGACAGTCTGGGGGAATAGTGATCAGACAGTTTGGGGGTATAGTGATCAGACAGTCTGGGGGGTATAGTGATCATACACTCTGGGGGAATAGTGATCATACAGTCTGGGGGAACAGTGATCAGACAGTCTGGGGGAACAGTGATCGGACAGTCTGGGGGAATAGTGATCGGACAGTTGGGGGAATAGTGATCAGGCAGTCTGGGGGTATAGTGATCAGACAGTCTGGGGAATAGTGATCGGACAGTCTGGGGAATAGTGATCAGTCTGGGGGAATAGTGATCGGACAGTCTGGGGAATAGTGATCAGTTTGGGAGAATGGTGATCAGTCTGGGAGAATAGTGATCAGACAGTCTGGGAATAGTGATCAGTCTGGGGGAATAGTGATCAGACAGTCTGGGGAATAGTGATCGGACAGTCTGGGGAATAGTGATCGGACAGTCTGGGGAATAGTGATCGGACAGTCTGGGGGAATGGCGATCAGACAGTCTGGGGGAATGGCGATCAGACAGTCTGGGGGAATGGCGATCAGACAGACTGGGGGAATAGTGATCAGACAGTCTGGGGAATAGTGATCAGACAGTCTGGGGGAATGGCGATCAGACAGTCTGGGGGAATGGCGATCAGACAGTCTGGGGGAATGGCGATCAGACAGTCTGGGGGAATGGCGATCAGACAGTCTGGGGGAATGGCGATCAGACAGTCTGGGGGAATGGCGATCAGACAGTCTGGGGGAATGGCGATCAGACAGTCTGGGGGAATGGTGATCAGACAGTCTGGGGGAATAGCGATCAGACAGTCTGGGGGGGGAATGGCGATCAGACAGTCTGGGGGAATGGCGATCAGACAGTCTGGGGGAATGGCGATCAGACAGTCTGGGGGACATGGCGATCAGACAGTCTGGGGGAATAGCGATCAGACAGTCTGGGGGAATAGTGATCAGACAGTCTGGGGGAATGGTGATCAGACAGTCTGGGGGAATAGTGATCGGACAGTCTGGGGAATAGGCGATCAGACAGTCTGGGGGAATGGCGATCAGACAGTCTGGGGTCTGGGGGAATGGCGATCAGACAGTCTGGGGGAATGGCGATCAGACAGTCTGGGGGAATGGCGATCAGACAGTCTGGGGGAATGGCGATCAGACAGTCTGGGGGAATGGCGATCAGACAGTCTGGGGGAATGGCGATCAGACAGTCTGGGGGAATGGCGATCAGACAGTCTGGGGGAATGGCGATCAGACACTCTGGGGGAATGGCGATCAGACAGTCTGGGGGAATGGCGATCAGACACTCTGGGGGAATAGGCGATCAAACAGTCTGGGGGAATAGCGATCAGACAGTCTGGGGGAATGGCGATCAGACAGTCTGGGGGAATGGCGATCAGTCTGGGGGAATAGTGATCATACACTCTGGGGGAATAGTGATCAACAGTCTGGGGGAATGGTGATCAGACAGTCTGGGGGAATGGTGATCAGACAGTCTGGGGAAATGTGATTGGAATCAGACAGTCTGGGGGAATAGTGTTCATACACTCTGGGGGAATAGTGATCAGACAGTCTGGGGAATAGTGATCAGACAGTCTGGGGGAATAGTGATCAGACAGTCTGGGGAATAGTGATCGGACAGTCTGGGGAATAGTGATCAGTCTGGGGGAATAGTGATCAGACAGTCTGGGGAATAGTGATCAGTTTGGGGAATGGTGATCAGACTGTCTGGGAGAATAGTGATCAGACAGTCTGGGGAATAGTGATCAGTCTGGGGGAATAGTGATCAGACAGTCTGGGGGAATAGTGATCGGCAGTCTGGGGAATAGTGATCGGACAGTCTGGGGAATAGTGATCGGACAGTCTGGGGAATAGTGATCAGTCTGGGGGAATAGTGATCGGACAGTCTGGGGAATAGTGATCAGACAGTCTGGGGGAATGGCGATCAGACAGTCTGGGGGAATGGCGATCAGACAGTCTGGGGGAATGGCGATCAGACAGACTGGGGGAATGGCGATCAGACAGTCTGGGGGAATAGCGATCAGACAGTCTGGGGGAATGGCGATCAGACAGTCTGGGGAATGGCGATCAGACAGTCTGGGGAATGGCGATCAGACAGTCTGGGGGAATGGCGATC